TATATATATATATATGGGACATCCTGTATATATCTCCCACATTTGGAATACACTACGTGATTCTTTAATTCTTCTGCTAAAAGAAACAACTTTTTCCTTTAGCAAAATTGCGTGTGACGAATAATTTTTATAGTAAATCAGATTAAAAATGACGAATGAGCGCGCGTATGTGCGTAGTGGTCAAGGCTAGCGCGCGTTCCACAGGCCGACGCAGTCTGGTACTTAATCTTTGACGACTTCACGTACTATATTATTTAAAATGTGATAAAAGTTAACAAAATAAGTATTGTTTCCATCCTTTAACGATTAATAAAAAAATTGTCTATATTTCGTAGTATTATCTCGAAATAAAAATAAATGTAAATAATATGGTCTATGAACTGAGCATTCTATTATTTTAATTACTGCACAATTGCATATATAATAACAATAAAAAAAATATACTGAATTTATTTAACGAATTTATTTAAACTGTTACGTCCAACCCGAAATAAATATTTTTTTTGAAAATGGATAGGCTAAGAAGGACGCTCCAAATACAGCGGTGGGCGCGCTGAGGCATCCCTACGAGTTGGACGCACTGTGCAGATCCACGAATGCGAGTCAACGTCTTGAAAAAGACGCTATGACTTCGATTGCGTGACGTGCGTCCGTCGGTCTGTAATTTAGGCAAGAGAATTTAATCTCTTTTGCCAGGGACAGGATCATATGCGAATCTTGGGATAACGGGGAATGAAAGAGGGAGGAAATAACTAAAACGATAAATAATTTGAATTTTACATATAATTAATAATTTTAAAAACGATTACAAGTTTAACTAACTACAAGATCCGCGTCATTATTTCTTGTGTTGAAGTACATTTGCTGAAGGTATATTTACATTTGATAAAATAATAAAAAAAAAGGTGTTACATACGGAATATAATATAAATGTTCTAGAAAATTTACGGATGTATTATTTAATTTTCGTGTACAAATTCGATTATATTTGTTTGTCTACATTCTAATTATTCTTATCTTACGTTGTTTAATATATTTTAATATTTTTATCCTACGTTATTTAATATATTTAAATCTATATTTTGATATCCGTGTGTGGTTGTTTCGGAGAGGAGGTCAGATTTTTGATGGTGAGGTCTAGAGGAGAAGGGGAAGGAGTCCGGAGTTCGCAGAACTCGTCCAAGGATTTCTTGGTGCGGAAATCTGGATATTGGAAATTTGTGTCATGGCACTCTGGGAAGAGTGCACTGAAATCTGGGGGTGACCCAGATTCGGATGGTCTAATCGGGGAATAGGACGAAGGAGACATGCACAATGAATAGGATCTTGTGCTGGAACAACTCGTGGTTTCTTCAGCACATGTAAAAACCTTGGATGTCCCAGGCGAGAGGTAGTTGGCTGATCGACGAGCTCGCTTGTTGCGACGATAACGGAGCCTCTTCAGGGCTCGCCTCCGTCTCTGAGCGTCAGAAAGAGAGGATGATGTAGATCTCAATAGAAGAAATGGATTAGTTGGAATATGAAGGAAATGTCATTGGTCGTAAACCTTAAGGCTATCTCTGAAATATTTCAGGAGATTCCACCGAAATGCTGTATAAGGGAAATTAAGTACATAATATTACATAATGTTGAAGAAAAGAAAAAAAATAAAATATTGAAACTTACGCATTACGTTCCTTCTTCGTTTCGCCATCGTACGATTGTGCTGCTTCCTTTGGCGGAATACATTGCGTGTGGTTTTTTCGTACAAACAAATGATGAAGCAGCAGAGTATATTGCATGCGGATCATTCGATGGAGGACTGATCGCACTTGCATAAATTTTTACATGGCAGGGTGCATTCCGCGCCCCTCTTTCTAGGTATTTCATTGTTGCGATCAAACATGTAGCGACATGTTTGCACCTGCTAAAGGAGCTTGATAATATGTTTAAATTTTTTCCAGAAGGAGCCGCAATAAGATGGCATTTCGTAGAAACCGACGACTGTACGTATCGCGATTGTACGTATCACGTGTTAAGAGAAGTGCTGATAATCCGGCTGTAAACAAATTGCGACCATATTCCGGTTTAGACAAAGAGACAAAGAAATTGCAGATAATATATAATAGATCACTGAGCACGCGGAATCACAGTAGGTGTCTTGAAAGTCTAATGAATCAATTGAATGTGAGAGAAAAAATGGAACACTTCGAGCGAGTGGTATGTGGGGGCTGCTATGGGGCGTCAAAACAAACCTCCACAACTTTCCCACTGGAGCCAGGGGCGTGGCCTCCAGCTGTCAAGATAGGACCTCCACGTGGAAATGGAGCGTTCTGATTGGCTGAGGGGTGTGGCCGGAGATAATTAGGTAATTAATGGTGCATTCTGATTGGATTCTTCCATAGTTGCCCGGCGTGTGATTGGACGCTCCCAAAGCTGTCCGGGGTGTGATTGATTGTCGAAATGCTAGACCAAAAGATAGAGGAGGGGATGAAAGTGTCTGGGCCCGTTCGGGGTCCGACAAAATGGCGTGTGCAAAGATGGCGGACACCTGAGAAGAATTTGTTCCGGGATCTGATCGGGGATGCGAAAAAATGGCGACAAGAAGAATGACGGGGTGTTGAAGGGAAATATATCTGACTAGCGAAGAATGGAATGCGATGGGAAAACAGGAACGGACAAGTTTGGTTTAGATGTTTTAATGACCTCAGGGTTGTACGAAGCTCTTATCCTATGACAAACGCGATGTCTGCAAAATGTTTTAGATATTTTTAGCTTGAAGTAATGTAGCTAGGATTAATTTTAGGTTGGCGGGAAAATAAGAGGGCTAGAATTTAAGTTACAAAATCATTAAGTTTATTATTATTATTGTATATGTAATACATCATTGTACATATCATTTCATAATAGTGTTTTTTAATATTTACTTATTCTTAAAAGTACAGGTTTGTATATGGCAGCACGTTATATGAGATTTATCGCATTTACTTTTTCCATGAAGAAAGATTTTACGAAATAATTGTACAATTAATCTATCATTATCTTCGTAATCCTCGCTGAATGTTTCGAGAAATTATTTAAGATTATAACCGCGGGACAAATAATAAAGAAATACGCAGCAATATTGCCCATAAGTCTGAGAAAATGTGTAGACGCGTGATGTTCCATCTATGGGTAGTAGAGTTTCGTTGAAGTCGCAGATTGAATCTGGAATCCAAGGGAAGTAGTCCGTTTCCTATCGAAATAAGTGCCTTCTCCATGCTTGTCTATGTAGAAGGCGACCCAGTGTTGTCCAGGACGATCGTGATTATCGGTGTTCGCGACGATGGCCGTCGACTTCGTCCACATCATCAGGATTCTGTCGGCAGGATACACATCCGCATGTCCGACACTGAGATGACGCAGCGCCCGTAAGATTTTGAGCGAATTCATCTCTCGCAGAAAGGGGAGACGATTCAGTTATTTACCTCCTCTCTGGTGTCGCTATATTTTTATCCTCTTGCTTGGATTTTACGGTAGAAGTCTCCTTTTTTTCATGTGCGAGTTTCGATAGCTCTTCTTTCTCCGCTTTCATTCGTTCGCACTCCGTTTGTTCTGTTTCCAAGCTCTTATTTCTCCACCTAAGGAGATTCGGAAAATTTCATTTTATCGTAAAAACTCCGCTTTCTGTATCGAAGTCATTGAAGCTTTGACCGGTAAAAGAATCATCGTTGCTCGAGTTACAGCTGCTGCTATTACCTTCTTGCGATTGCATCTAGTATCTCAGTTTGCACGCGTTGTGCAACGCGCAACGAAATTTGTTAGAATTTCGATGAAACCCGTGATGACCGCAGCGTAATTCATGCTCCTCGTCTTCCGCTAGGTTTTTGAATGCGAGAGAGATTCCTCCTAGATTATATACGTTTCTGCCGAGCGTCTTTTGCAAATAAAGTACTTTCTCACGGCCTCTGCTTCTATATGTAACGTATCCGCCGTGCAATTTCACGTAGTTCCACCGTGAAATGCTTGGAATCGGCTTCCGTCAATCCATTCGATACCGTGGAAGTTTTGCGAGAGCCAGCTGTTTTCTTTTCTCGATTTTTCGGGTAATTCGATGAACGGATACGGTGGTAGCACAATCCAATGATCTACGAAAGCTTCGTTAACTCCGATGAGCGCAACTTCCTTTGGTATAAACTTTCCCTCGATGTCACGGAAACCTTGTATATCGACGATTATATCCATGATGTAGAATATGCTTTTTTCTGAAGCATCGTAGTTCATGTGTCGAGTAAAACTGAAGCTGTTTTCCGTTGTAGTTCGAGTAAATATAAGAAGTGACCACAGTGGGGGGATGAGGTTTCCTACCATTGTCTTTATCCGCTAAAATCTACAATGACTTGACGCGAAGAGTTGATTTCCATCACGTTTTCGAACTCTGCGTAAAGGATACAATTAATCGTTGTTGTAATCGCCTTTTCGAATCGTACCTCTAATCTTAAACTTCCATGTCTGACAAGATTCCAATGTCCTGCGCAATTTGCCGATAGATCGGGAGTGAGATCGAAAGCGAAAGGGGTGAATCCATCGGCATAATCTTCTCTGCTTATGGAATTCCCCTCGTTTAGAAAATGAATGCCGGTTCCCGAGAAGAGAGTGTTATAAGCCTTGATGTAGAGCGGCTCGTCTTTTGAAAAATTTGGTTGCAGCGATCTGCTCGGAATTTGCATGCCATCGGCATATAACGAGAAGAAATTTATGCCGTAATTTTTAAAATTAAATGGATTTAGCTTTCTATCGCCATTAAACGCTTTGTTATCGACGAATCCGACTATTACGCGTTTTGGAAGCTGGCCGAGTATCGCGTTATCAACCGATTCTCCTACCACTCCTGCGTGAATCGTGAACGTTTTAACTTTGACTCGTGTTAGAGGATATTTGGCGGTTGTTTTACTCAACATTCTCGCATGATCGAGTAACACTCCGGGGCTTATTTTTGCTCTTCTTGTGAGCAAACTAGCATCTAGAATATGTATTTTTGACGTTGAATTGGCTTCCATGAGACAAAATGTATCTCTCGAGCGAACGAGTCTCATTCTAACCTCTACCCCATTAATTAAAAATTTATCCTGATTAAAGACGTCGCAATGAAGATGGCCTATTAGATCCAGTGAACGACCTCCTTGGACGTATCGGGCGCGTCTTACGAGAACTTGATTTGAGGTTCCCGATTCTAATAGCGCGTCTATATGACCGGGCTCGTCCGTGTCCCAGAGAGAAGAAGTCAGATGGGAAGTTTTTGCCGGTGAAGAATAATTTAACAATGCTTTAACGTACGCGCGGTACGCGTAGGCGTTGTTCGGGGGTGATACGAGTTTTTGATTGAAGTATACATCGATCTGGTTGAACATCGAATGTAGCAGATGATTTTCAGGGCCTACTTTGTTTCCTCCTGCCGCTGTTCCAGGGCCGGATAAACTTTCCACTCGTACGCGAAGGCTTAGCATAGTATGCGTGAGATCTGGATAATCTTCTCCTTGTCCGGGTACGACGAATTCTATAGGTGCGTCGTCCGCGAGCGAAGTTACCGGTTTGTAATAAATCCATTGTGAACTCTCGATACTCGTTTGAGTAGGTGGTAAACTGAAAAGATCGAGCTCACTCTTTAAACACTCGCTCGAGTGAGTATGGAGAAAAGACATTTCTCAAACTTACGATTCACACTCGCGTCAGTTAGCGAATATATCGGATACGGTGCGCTTTTTCCCGCTATTTCGTCGATGTTTCGTCGGCTTTTTAGTTTTTTTCGCCGCTGCTTTCCTTTTCGATGATTTTTTATTCGGTTTTTTCACGCCGATTTTCGTCGATTTCTTTTTTTTACCGACTCGTCTACGTTTACGGACAGAGCTTCTCTCGGATTTATCGGTGCGTGCGTTGTGCCCTCCAAAAGGAAACTGAGCCACGCGCATTTTTGCGGATGTTTTATATCCCGATCCCTTCATTAATTCGCTTATATTTTCTCTGGCTTTTCTCTTGAGATTTCTACCTGATTCCTTGAGTCGCGTTTTGAGAGCTTTCTTGAACGGAGTATTGTTTTCAACATCCTCTATCACGCCAATTCCGGCGCGTAAAGCTTCTTTCCCGAGTGCACGTATTCCCCTGCTTAGATAAAGAAGTGCCCTTCTAAATAATCCTCCGAGGAAACTCCCGATTCCGTGACCACGTTGATAGGGTGAACCGACGAAAATTCGCAGAATTCCTCCTCCCCTATCTCCACCGTTCTACCTTTCGTAATACTCGTCGTATTCCATGGGTGATTAGTTTTTTCTCAAAGCTCTGAGACTTTCCACCGCAAATGATAATTAACACGTCTAAAGTGTAATGTCGCTATCAGCGTTCCGTATTCGAATGGTATTTTTTCTCCACGATGATCTTTTATATCTATTTCAATTTTACGGAATTTCGTTTGACGCAATGGAGTATATTGCAGAGTGGGGAAATATTTTACCAGATTCGTCCCGTACGTGTAATTACAGCCGGGTGTATCGATTGAAACGATTCGAAGAAGCGGACTCCGCGTATCGCCGATTATGTAAGGTTCGCAAATGTTGCAATAAACGTACATTTTATCAGGGATACCGTGCCATAGGCTACAGGGTTCTACAGTCCAGAAAGATACTGTGCGTCCACTACCGATGGCATAACCGAATTTTAAAAACGGCGTTAATTCGCTGGAATTAGGTAACTTGTGACGGTAAATTGTGCCGGCATCAATGTTGATCTTCAATATTTGAAAAATATTAGCTAGCAGATTTATATAATGAACGAGAGTACAGTTGTCGTCACACTCGATGCTTATATGGATATTATCACCTGAGCCTTTTTGTAGTTCGAAAGTAAAATGCGAATCGGCGCGTCTGCACTCTTTATTAATCGCGTAGATAAGTTCTTCTGTATTTTCATAAACCCCTGCCTGTAAGTGCAATTCTTTCACCGTAAACTTAGCATTTTTCTCATCCTTTACGTTCTTCAAATCGACAAATCTAACCTTATTATCTCCTCGACGTACGTGGAAGAGACTGGAGGGAAATTGAATCTCGCTAAGCGCGACTTCCCATTCTCCGAATAAATGTACACTAGGGTAAATGTGTGGTGAAAGAAGAAATTGTATTTCCCGGAAAATACTTCTTACTGCTATCGCTCGGAAGAACCATGAAAAATTGCTCCTCCTCCTTCTTGGAGAAAAGTTAAACTCGAAGCGGGGATCCAACTGTCGAATTTGTTGGGATATCCTTGCCAGCTAACTAGCACCTGTTTATTAGCACCGCGTCCTTTGCTCTTTATCACGCGCTCGACGATAAACTCTTCTTCCGCCAAGTTTTTATTGACCCGTGCTAATTCTTGTTCATAAAAAATCCCATCGATGTGTTTACCCGATAAATCGCACAATTCGTACACGGGGGTTTTCGTCAATGGAGAACGCGACAAACTCGAAATATTTCCTCGCTCCACCGCGCTTCGTATCCTTTCTCGAAAGTGGCTTTCGCTCTACTGATGCGTACGAGTCGTCGTTAACATCGAATTTAGCTTTTTGTTCTACTACTTTCGACGCCCCCTTCTCTCTCTCCCCTCTACGTCGCTCCATATTTTCACGTGCGATACGGGCATTTTCTCTCGTAACGGCCGCCGGTTGCATCTTGATGGACGAATGACGGGTGTGATTGTAAGCGCGCACGATGTCTTGCAACACATCGATATAACGCCGCGTGTTTTTATGCGTAAAATAGCGCCACATTAATTCCTTCAACGTTCTATTGAAGCGTTCAACGACAGCGGCTTTGATGTCTGAATTGCGAGCTACGCGATAACGTATGCCTCTTTCTTTCAGAAAATCTTGCAGCGGGCATGCGATAAATTCTTTACCCTTGTCGGTTTGTAAGTACACGGGCGCTCGTCCATCGCTTCTCGAGAGAATGTTTTAGAAGCCTCTTGTCACGCAATTACTCGTTTTATCCCGCAGCGGTTCCACCCAGACGAATTTGCTAAGTACGTCGATAATCATGAGCAGATAAGAAAATCCGTCGTTATAACTCTTGAGACTACGGAGTTCGATCAAATCGGCCTCCCACAGATCGTGGATATTCGTCATGTTGTAACGTAAATGTAATCGTGGAAATTTTTGCTTCGAGGTGCAGTGTGTACGCGTCTTGCGATTCGAGCCAGCGAGCTACTTCTTTACGATAAAAATTCGGTTTAGCGGCACGCGCCAAGTTATCCGTTGCCGAATATCCCGCATAGTGCACTGGATCGTAATACAAATTTTCAAGCCTGGTCATTTCAATTCACTCCAATCGAGTAAGCGTCTCTTTCTTGCCTGTCGAGAATCTTTCACGAAGATTATAGGGATATCGTCTTTACGAAAACGCGGCGAAAGAAACAATGCGCACTTCGCTTACTCTTCTTCTTCGGTCTTGCGTTTTTTTCCCTTTCTCATGCGTCATACCCTCCTCGTCCCCGTCGTCGTCGCCGTCGTCGTCGTCGTCGTTGAAAGTTTTCTTGGTATTTTCGGGAAACTCGCTCGTGGTGGTGATAATATCTTGACAAATGTGGTTGCTAACAATTCCTTATTTCCTACGAGTACAGCCGGGGTGTTCGTCGTACGTAGTAATCGTGCAAACTGACCTCTTCCTATTGCTTTCACGGTTTTTCTTTTGCGCATCGCATCGTTTATCAGTTCCATGATATTCGAATCTTTTATAATGTTACCCTCGATAGTCACAATTCCTTCTACGTTCCAAGTAATTCTCGCGGATACTGCTTTATCAATCAAATGTTTCAAAAGTAAACGTGCCTTGACACGAAAACTTTTCGGCATTTTCTAATATTTTTTCGACGCTTTGCTGCTCGCGCCTACGCAAAGACTCAATCCGTACTGTATTACTTACGTACTCTTCGAGATGAGGAGATTTGCTCGGTGATTCGCGCGCCTGTTCCGCTACGTCTTCCTCCCGCGCATCTGAATTGTTCTCATCGGCGTTACGCGTCGAATCTTCCTTTTGCGTTTTATCAAAATGAAGATATCGCCAAAGTATTTCCTTATACAATTTCCATTTCTCGCTTACATCGCGCGGAGTGGGTGAATTAAGAATCCTGCTCATATCTGAATCGAATCGTGATAAAGGCGTACCGGGTGTTTGTACGGAATTTAAATTTTCTCCCTGTATCATCTCCAAATTCTGTCGCGCGACGTTTTCCGTCGTGCCTATTACCGGATGTTGTTGTTGTTGTTGGAAACGTTGCTGCATTCTTTCGAGATTATCCGTGGAAATCAAGACCATCTTCTTTGCCTTTTCCATAACTCGATTTCTTTTCTCTTAAACTACCCTCCGATAATTTTTGAAAATAGGAAGGATAGTATAGGCCCGATAAGATACGGTAAAAATCCGCCTCGCTGTAATAATAGCCTTTTCTTACTTTTCCAATTACAACGTTTTCTCGCTAAATGACGCAAAGTTGTTTTATATCTGCTTACGATTTTTGCTTACGATTTCTGCGACGATTTTTTTCACTGCGTTCGAGCGGAACGTTACCCTTGAGAGTATTGAAAACGCACTCGCAGATACAGTGAATGAATTTTTCGTCTGCCCAGCGTAAAAAAGAGGCGCGCTGATTTTTGTTCGAATAACACAGCGCTTCGAGAAGACAGATATTTTTCTTACCGATCGGGCATTCCACGATTTTTCTCGCATTAATCGATGACGTTCTCTTCTTCATCGCGAGGAACTTGCCCGACTGCCACGAAAGAATGCGTGGACGATACTTTTATACAAAACTTCCGGAAAAGAATCTGCGCGTTACATAAACGTAATTCGCTGTATCATCGGGAAATATGCTCGTGCGAAAACGATACTCGTCCGGCGTCGATTGTTTTAGATCAAGCAATAAATATCCGTGAGGTTGGGACGTGGCGTCGTGGTACGCTTCCTCGAGAAACTTTGGATCGTTCGGATAGACTTGACGAGCGAGGTGACGAATTTGCGCGCGATCCCGGGGATTTTTGAAAACCACAAAGTAATTCGCGTTCAGAGATATGTCGCGTTGTCCGCGCCCCTGATGAAAGAGATTTTGTGTGATGAGAATTACGCTGAGATTTTTATGATAACTTCCCTTGGTAAACAGATACAATCGCTTCGCTCGAAGATGATTCCCTCATAAGATCGTCAATTATTATCAATTTCGGACGAACTGGATCGCTAGAATAATCTTCCGGACGTGATAATCCCTCGTGAAATTCGATCGCCGCAACGAAATCTCGAGTTTCGTATTGAAGCTGTTGATAAGCATCCTGCCACTCCGCGTAATAAAGCAAAATTCTTTCGAAACGGCCATTTCACAAAAATCATTTTCCTGTTGGTCCGCACACGATCGACGTCCACGAATGTTTTCACCGTACATCCATTTTACGAAATGACAGATTCGCGTCTGTGCGCTATTTCATAAAGACTGATGATTGTGAGGGGACTGTAAGCTTATCCCAGCGACCGGGGGGGCCCACCGCGGCGAAGATATGCTCGCGCCAGCATTCCCCCGCGAGGGCTAGCGAAAAACACCGCGGGGCGAGCTGATTCATTCCCGCGGTGTGAGCAAGCTTATCCTCGAAAATACTCTCGCCAGCGAAACAGCGTTA